AATTTGTATTTTATAAAATAGCGGTGGAGGTGTGCAACATTTATTATGATTGATAGATTGGAAGTTTCGTGATTTGAAATCAAAAGCTTACGAATGGAACTACACTGAAATTGGGGTTTCATAACGACTAGAATATACAAAAAATATTAATAGACGACATGCGGCCAGAACAGCCTTTTGAGCTCAGCACAGGCACTGGCAGAGCCACTTGTGTTTGTGGGGGTGGGGTGGGGGTAATGGCTCCACATATTTTTGTACTTTTCTATGTTGTGTCATTGCCAAAAAAAAAAAAAGCATGAAGCCAATCTATCAGTGAATGAAATAACCCTTATTTGCGTAGGGGGGTAAACACGCCAATCGTTTTGAAGCTAAAGTAGTTCCATTTTTCCCTTTCGCTGGTGCATTCCTAAGGAGAAGTGTTGGGGCAAACAAGTCCCACATCGGTTGTGGGAAAAAAATAAATTCACCATATAACCCAAGTGGGCTACTCCACCCATTACCAATTGGTTTTGGGATGGAACCTCACTTGGACCTGGTGGAGTGGGCTTGGGCCTTGGGTAATTGCTCTCAATAATTCCCTAACAAGAAGTGTAGGCTCGGTGCTTTGCACGAGTTTCGTCTTCCCCAAAGATAGTCTAAACCATTGTTGCATGAGTTCAGCTTGACTGTAGGAAATGAGCAGAAAGGTTTTGGCTTGAAGAGCCGGCTTTCTCCGATGTGTGTATGAGATAAATGTTCTCCTGCTCATGGTAGAAAGTTTTATCTTGCCCACTTTGAGAAAATCTTGTTTATGGTTCTTAGAGAACCGTAATTAAGGTTCTCCTTTCGTATCAGCAAGTGTGCAGTCTTATTATGCCCACTGTAGGCAAGAGAACAATTTTGGTATGTATAATACTTCGTTTTTGACAGTACAAGAAAATGCATTCCACTGGGCCCATGTCATTTTTTCGTGAATAGATGCTCTGCTAGCAACCAATAACTATATCTGTCTTGACAGTTCGACATATTTTGACATCTCTACTTTTCGTGTTGTATGAAGAAAGAATATATTATCTCGCCTTGACATTTCTTCGAGACCTTATTTGTTTCTTGTGTGGAAGTTCATTGAATAATTTTTCCAGCATATCCATTGGATGCATTATTTGTAAAATTACATTAAAGACCCTTTCCATGAAAAAATATCAATCTCATTGGGAGCTTTGGAAGACTAATGGCCACTTCTTATGGCTGCAAATTGTACGTGCTACCCAGCGTATAGTCCAAAAACCATGAAAAATGACTTACTATAGACTTCTTGTGAGAATCTCCAAGATTTAACTAGCTGTCAGCCAGAAAAATGCACAATAAAAGTTGATGGTAGATGACGCCCTTTCGTGTCTCTCTCTTTTTTTTTTGGATACCCAGGTGTCCCAATTTTGCCTGACTAAATTCTGGTCCTCCAAGACCCTTGCTCCTAGAATCTTGGAGGAGATAAATCACGGGATATGCCTCAACTGGTTCCCAGGTTCCCCTCACCAACTGTACACTTCTGCGCACAATGGATCATCCTCCAAAGTCATTGCTTTATACCAAATAAATCTGGTCGCGAGTTCCCACCAGGATTCAAACTCCCACCCTGCCGTTGGAAATGAGTTATGTGATGATTGTTCCGTCATTTGAGCTGTGCCTCGAGGGGCCCTTTTGAGTCTATTTTTTTTTCTGTCACGAATGAAGAATCTAGAATATCGCAATAAGTTTAACTCGACTATTTAGTTATCTTTCACTTGGGATGTAAGTGAACAAATATTGAAATTTGGAATATTTATCTTAAATTGTTGGTTTAATAAGATTAGTGGTTTATACACTTATATATGAAATCATATGGGACACTGATGCAACACGAAACAAGAAATTCAAAAGGAAATCTTAATAACACAATTTTTGGAATCTATCAAACTCACGAAATTTTATTAATATAAGATGATTAAAAAAAAAAAGAATGAATTAACCATTTATTTATAAGAATTTATATGAAGATCTATTTTAAAAAAACTAAAATTACAAAGAATTTGAAATAAACTAAATGACAACAATAGCACTAAAACTTTAAAAGCAATTTTGGACTCCTAAACGAACCGGATGGCTAAAATTCATCATATCCCACGTCAAAGTAATGAGTTCTACTCGTCCGTTGTTCTCTTTCCGAAATGGTATTATGGATCCAAAAGGAAGCTCGAACGCCACACTTGCACTATTATGTTTTTACATTTTCGATCCAATTCTTTTTTAATTCATTCAACCATCAGTTCTACCTCAGATATCCTTAATTTCATAACAAGAATCTTATATTCATCACTGCGCCATCTCCAATTCCATTCTTTAACTAGAAAATGCACCATTTTTTCTCTCGCTCAGAAATTTGAAATCATCTCCGTTGATGTACCACATTTTGACATAAATAATATATTATCTGTTCTCTAATCATAAACTATTGTACCAATGATTCAAAAACTCAGTGCAAGAAACAGAGATATGCTTGATCCAATACGAATATTATTTTTTTATTCAAACACACTTTGCTATCTATGAGTGTGAGCAACGAATGTATGCATGTATGTATACTGCCGCTGGTGCTACCTATCAATATACTATCTGGGATGTCAAAACATCGTCATGCTAGACCTGAATTATCTATCAATAATATTATAGAGGGAGTACAAGATTCAGGAATGATGCAATTAGGGGTTGAATTGTTTTATTTATTTTATTTATTTTTTATTTTTTGTTTTATATTTACATTTTGTGCTTATTTAGAAAGGAAAGTGTTACGAAGTTACCCATAGAAATCGAGCTTTTAATTACAAAATTTAAAACCAAACATGCCTACAAGAGAGTTTTGACATCAACCGTGGATCCAAGAAACTTTTAGGCTCAATTTTGGCTAGATTTCACACATCATTTTACCATCAAAACCACTGCCTTGTTTCCTTCTAAGAAGAGGAAACATAACCCTTGAAACCACACAGAGATCAAGAGACTCATTCACAAAGATGGACAGAAACACAATAAACTTTAACAAAGGAAATACTATATTGTTTCTCAATCTTCAACCGAAGCAGAATATCGTACTATGGTATCTACTACCAAAGAAATTGTTTGGTTACATTGGTAACTTGCAGATATGAGAGTTTTTCTTTCTCATCTCATTTCTATGTATTGTGATAACCAGAGTTCTATTCAAATTGCTTACAACTCGATTTTTCATGAACGAACTAAGCACGTTGAGATCGATTGTCACCTTACTCGTTATCATCTCAAGCATGGTACAATTATTTTGCCATTTGTTTCTTTTTCTTTGCAGCTTGCAGATTTCTTATTTTCGTTTTCTAGTTGGCGAACTTTCGATACTTGTAGCTGCCGCATTGTGAGTTTGAGGGAAGATGTTAAGAAATATATGATTATTTTGTTTTATTGTTTATTAATGGTAGAATGATCTTTTCAGTTTCCTTTGTTTAGTCTATATATAGTTTCTTTGTATCTAGGTTAAGTTATCTTTTTGTATTCAATGTATTATGCAGAATCAATGAAACTCTAGCCTCCTCTTCTTTTTATTTATTTCTTTGGATTGGTTAACAAGCCGGAGTGCTCTGGACTTGAATAAGAACTCAATGTATCATTCTCGGACAAAGCACATCGACATCCGTTATCAGTGGATACGAGAGGTGATGGATCAACAATTGTTGAGACTAGTAAAGATTCTCACAAATGAGAATCCAGCGGACATGTTGACAAAGGTGGTTCCAAGGGAAAAGTTAAGAGCTATGCAGATACATAGCTGGGATGGTTGTCAAATAACAATTACTTTAGATGTAGTTGGAGGGGGAGAATTGTAATGTCTGGCCTTTAGCCTCTTTTTTTGTTGATTCAACCATCCAGCCACTTGCCTCTTTTGCTGAATAAAATGAGGCAAAGAAATCTTATGCATTAAATGCAAAAGGAAATATTTTTTCTTCTTTGCCGAAGCAGCCACCTTTTCCATTTTTTGTTGAAAATGGAATTGGCGGAATAAATGAAGGATGGCAAGTCTTTCACTATAAATAGGTGATATGTTTGAGAAGTGAATACACCCTCAGAAAGAAGGTGAAATAGAAAGAGTGAGTTTAGAGAGAAATTTGTGAGGTATTTTTTGTAAAGAGTTTGTAATCTCTGTAAATTCTATTCAAGTGAGAAATAGAATAATTTTTTTTTTCATATATATCTCCTCTTTCATGATTGGAGAATCACAACAATGGATCAACTGATGTGTGAACTAATTGGACTTTCAAATTCTTCAATTATTGGTAAAAACCTGTTAATGATTGACAGACACAAACAAGAACTACAGTGATGGTACAGAATTGAAAGAAAAAAGAAAATAGAAATAACAACAGAAGTTTACTAGAATCTGATCAAGATGATCCTACATTCAAGAACATGACAATTGTCCCAATCAAATCCACCAAGTATATAAGCAGAAGTTACACACTCAAAGTCTCTCTATACAGCTATGAGTTTTCCCTTTGCTTTTGATTTATCATAGCAATTAGCTCAACTGACTTTCAAACAGATAGCTGTTGTAACTGTAAACCAACTGGTAACCTACTGACACTAATTAAACAGCTTCCACCCTTGAAGTCCAACAATCATTGTCCAATACGGTGGTTTGGCAACAAAAGCTCAATAGCAGGCAAGCCGCGGACGTACTCGTATAAACTAATTAATGCAATACTAAAATAAAATTTTGGATTAAACCTGAGATCGACAACCATGAGCATGTCAATGTTGAATGTAGAAGGACAAAACGATATACAGTTGAAGACATGTTTCATACATACCCAGGTTCAACTGATTAAATGTATTAAAAAGGAATGAGTTTTAGCAGATGGTGCTGCCACAGTTGGTCGCGAACTTGCTTTGATGAAAGGGTACCGTGTAATATTACGAATCAAATAATGATTAATATGAATGAAAAGTTTTACTAATTAGTGTTTTAAGTTTCTTGTCACATAAACAAGAATTGCCTTATTGTTCCTAGAAATCCAACTTAAACAGACGCTTCTAATTTTGGACAATCGCAAAGTCCAACTTGTTTTATGAGCAGAAGATGAAGATGAACTGCGCAAAAATGCATCAAATTCCTTATCAGGCTTGCAGAATTCCATCTTACGGTCATATCTGAAGCTGATTTCATGGACCTTATCATTTTGCTTGATCATTTTCTTTCTTTTTATCCAAAACCAAACCCTTGACCATTTTGAGCTCTTAGTTTTTTCTCCTCCTCCAGTAAACGGAGGTGTAGGCCAAGGCAGTGCCAGGCTTTGAACCGCTGGTGGAGGACTCGGTGGAGGGATTACATCATTTTCCGGTGCCTTTTTTGGCGTCCCGGGTTGCATTTCCCATTTGAAGGGAATCCCTGAAGAAGTAATTTCAGTACTGTGTAAAGGACCAGATTGGTCGACAGAAGAGACTCTTGACAGAATTCTGCTGAGGATTAAACCATCTTCATCTAGTGAAAATGCTGTCTTGTGCGTTCTGCAGTAATATATCTTTGTGTTTCCTTCATCCTGTAAGTTGGCAATTTCAAAAGGAAAATAAGTTAATTTCCTTGAAAATTGTAATTAATTCGTTCGTGCAAATTAATTAAATGCGAACCAGTATGGCTGTGATGTTCCATGGACTGCAGCAGAAAGGACCATCAAACGAATCCCTTTGGACCCTCGACGATTCAGAAATGTGACAATTTGATGAAGACGAAGACGAAGAAGCTGAATTCACTACAAATTCTTCATCTGAATCACCAAACCTGGAGCTATTATTTTGACTACTTTTCTTCAACATTTTCTTCCAATTGTGCCAGATCTTTGAGGGCTTTGAGCCTGCCTCTTCAGGTTCATCTACTTGAGGCAAAGGAAGCGCCAAGCTCTGTATCAATGGCGGTGGAGAAAGCGGCGGAATGACATCTTTTTCCGGCGGATTCTTGGCCGTCCCCGGCTGCATTTCCCATTTGAAGGGTACCCCTTCTGCATGGCGATAAAATATACGTGAAGATTGACCTACCGAAGACACTCTCGCAAGAATTCGATTAAATCCTTCACCTTCAAGAAGCACAGAGATTTGATTTTGCTCAACACTATTTTTGGTCTCCATTGGGGGTGATCGACATAAACTTACACGTAACAATTCTGTTGGGAATGTGCAAAGTCTAAAATCTGCAGCTATATAAAGAAAGTGTTAAAGATTTGGGGTTCCATCTTAAAAGGTCAACTTTATTAAGAGGAGCAGTCCAATCCTTTATAAGTTGATATATGTTTACATCTTTATTCAATGTGGGATTCTATCCCTTAACATGCTCCTACAAGATGGTGACTCGTTTGAGCAAACCAATCTTGAAATTCGTATGATCACTTTTGTGAGTCTTAATCGGATCGAAGTGCTCGTTAGAGTTTAATGGGCTCTGATACTATGTTAAGCTTTGGGGTTCTATCTTAAAAGGTCAACCTTATTAAAAGGAGTAGCACAATCCTTTATAAGTTGATATATGTTTATATCTTTATTCAATGTGAGATTTTATCCCTTAACAGAAAGAGCTTTCCAATAATTCCTAGTACAAAGTCTTCCTGGTTCAAAGGCGAAAGATGAGAGGTAGGGCACATGATTCTGTAATTTTGAATGCTAAGAAGGTGGATTAATTGTTGATTTAACGTTTATTTTTATTGTTCATTTGTATGTTACTCCATTTTTGGTCCTACTTCCAGAGGTTCAGTTAACATCTTTTTGTCATGACCAAGCAAAGAAATCGCCCTTTTTTTTGAAGCTACGCTAACATTTTGGTTCTCTCTCAAAGTTACAGTTCATGTGCAATTATCAAGTCCTCAAGGCATGTCAACGACTTCTCTCATTATTAGATAATCTAAAATTCAACATCTTGAATAATTTTATCTTGTAAAAATTCGTTAAATGATCAAAACTACCTGTTTCGGTCCCATTTTTTCAAGGATAATGTGTTTTGGAATAGTAATTTTTTGAAGAATATGTGACTAAAAAATAAGGAAAAATTTTAAATTTACATGTAAAATTATTTTATAAGAGAACGTGTGATTGAAAATGAATTTTGAGAATAATGGAACTCAACGACCTCGTCAAAACTACCTTTTAGAAAAACCTAAATTCATATTTATGTGTTTTACTGAGGAAAGAATGTATTTTAGATAGTGATATGATAGGAAATATATGGTTAAAAAGTAAAAAAAAGTTATTCATATTTATGTGTTTGAAATAATGTATTTTGAAAGAATGTGTACCAAACAGAGGCTATATATTTTATCTTCAACACAATTCCTCGACTAGTTGGAATCAGCTTATAAAAAATTTCTTGAACAGAGGGTTGAAACTTGAACTCAAAATCTTGCCTAGTCAACCCACTAATATGCATGTACTTTGATGTGAACGGTCTATTCATTAGACATGAATGTTACGTAAATCCAAAATCTTTCAATTGAGACTCCACCTAAATTATAATTCATAGAATGTATTGAAACTACTCTTAAGGCTGGTTCATTGAATGTTAGATAAGGTCCTGTTTTTATGTGAATGAGATTCGATGGCGTGAACTACAATTGCATCAAATAACTTTACGTGACCATGTCCATGTTTGGGATTTTAGTTAGCCTTATAATTAAATAATGTAACTCATAAAAATAAAATAATAAAAGAGAACATTGTCCACAAATTCTAATAAATTCGATGATGGAATCGATAATGCATGACAATCTCTTCATTCGTATGGAGATATAAAATATTAGAAATGACTAAGCAACTCTTTTCTTAACACTGTCCAATAATCTCCCGTCCGCCCACCTTAAACATAACATAGGATGTTTAGGGTGATGACACATATTGGTCCACCAAATTCTTTCAGCTTGTTAGAAAAATTTAAGGAGACTGGAAACAGCATATTTTTATTTTTCATTTTTACAAATTTCTGTGGTAAAATACATCAATAGATTGGGAAAAAAACGCTTTAATGAAAAGGAAATATGCTAGAAAAAACGACGAAATAATATTTCGAACTAGATTGAAATTCAAATGGATATTCTTTTCTACATAACTGAGTCAGAGTCGTGTATCTGAATGTTCCAAGGATAAGATAAGCATAAAGCAATTAAATATGCATACATACAGCATCAAACTACAGCTAACAACTAATGACATCAAGATGCAACTCCGCAAGTAAAAGCTCATAGTATTCAAGAGGCCTTGAATACACAGAATAGGTACACGAGATCAATATACATCGTTTCTAAGACATGACCATGGCCATATGTGGGTTAACTTGGATTCGGTTGATTTCAGATTCCCTAGGCACCAAAGAGAAATTGTCAACAAGAATGCATTTATGAAGAAAGCTTCAATGATTCAATAGTCAATCTAGCCCCCCTATTTGGTAAAGATTAAAATTAGATTTTTAGCAAATTTTTATAAAAAGTTGATGGATGTGCAGTTGAAAAGTTGTGAATCCTATGAAATGTGTGGTTAAAATTAATTGTGAACTTTGACTTCAATTTTAATCAGATTTTTTAGCGGTACCAAATAGGGGCTTAGTATGGCTATTTTCACTGAACCAATGCTATGTACTTCAGTATTTTAACTCAGCGTTCAGATGATATACTTCAGATAGACACTCAAAACAAAACTATGATTCAATCTTGTGCACCTGTTTAGCCAATCCCACACTTTTAGCGGTTTGTCTAATTCTTTCTTTTCAAGATCATGCAAAATATAGCGAGTAAATTGCCAAAGTTTGATTCCGACTTTATCAACCCCGACATGTAAACTCTAGAAACAACTATAATACGGCGTATATAAAACCCAATAATTTAAATATTAAACGAAAAGAGAGAATAACTGATATACATACCATAGACTGTGATGACAAGATTGACTTTCAATCAGAACTCAGATGGCCACTCAACCTCCTACTTGGCCTTTCAGACTTCTCGAGATGTTTAGACATAATAGATGCCTGTGTTAAAGCACTGACCATATTAATTTTAATTTAAAGCACAATAAGATTTAGTGAAAGAAATGACAAGGATAATCTTGAACGAGTGAAAAGGCAAAAGTTAAATTTGGAGATGAGATGATGTGCAGCAAAAAATAAAATTAAAGTGAACATTGTAGAGGCTTTGGTGCAGCAAATTGTTTTTCAGACTTAACTGATTATCCTACTAAAAGTTTTAGCTTCCTCTCTTCCTCCGATTTATTGGGCAACGGGTGTGACAATAAGAATTTAAATAAATTGTAAAGTCTCTTTGGGTCCAAAATAAGCATAAAAATAGATCAAAACCATGTTCAGTTCATAGTTGTGTCAGAACATACAGAGTATTGCACACTAAACATTTAACAGTCTGCAAGGTGAATTCTCTTTTGCAGTTTTAACATCTAAACATGCAACTATATTGACAAGAAAAAGAATCCGAAAACAGAAATTGAATTAATACTTTTTTTAATGCGTGTTTGCTCATCTTATTCCTTAAATTCTTAAAAAATATGAACAAATCTGACTGGTAAAGAGACAAAGTTGGACATTGGGGAAAAATATCATAATGGAGGCTTAAATTGAAAATTACCTGTACTGGCAACTTTGTTGATATCTTTCAAAAATACAGATAATAAACATACAAGTAAAATATTAAAGATTTACAGTTTGGTAGAGGAATAAATTATCCACCTTCGGAGAGCCCATTTCCACCAATAAAAATCATGCACAGTTTCTAAGGCCCAACTATGGTTACAATACCTGCTCTTGGATAATGCTTCTTGCCTCAACAAGCTGAGCCTCTAGCTCAAGTTCTCTCTCCGTCACCTCCGAAGTAACTTCTGCACCTTTTTGTGCATCTTGAAGCTCAACCATGCGCTCCTTGAGATTTAATAAAAGAAGAAAATGAATGCTTATATTTTCCAATCTTGCGCACATCATATTCAGATATTTTTACACATAAAAAAGCATATGCATCAGATCACCTTAAACAGAAGCTAACATAAATATTATGCATGTCATACTGATATATTTTTACACAGAACAGGCATTTGCATCTTATTGCCACTCAGTCTACCTTAATAGAAGCCATCTTTGTTCGTAGACTCTCTTCAATTTGATCTCTAGCCATGTGGAGAGGCAGATCAAACATATCCTGCAAAGTACGAAGTCAGATGTCATATTATGGTTCGATGATATCCTTCAAGAAACCATTTGTATCTCTTTCTAATATTCTGCCATACCGTCCTTCCGCCCAATGGGGACTGAGAAGGGTCTGCATCGGGCCTCTCATTGACAGGACGAGATTGCTTGGACGATCCATTTGGAGCATTCAAGAATTCACGCATATCCACCTAGACAATCATATTTTAGAAAACACCTTCTTACAGATATAAAAGCGTCTTTCAAACATAAACAGTGAAGTTCATAAATCAAAGAAAATGGACAAAACGGTTTTAAGTATTTTGACCAAGGTACTTCTGATGGTAATGATTTTACATGTTCTGACTCAAAAGATTTCAATATCCACCATGAAACAGGCAAAAACAGGGGGGTAAAAAGGATGAAGAGATAAAAAATTTGCTTCGCACTTTGCAACATCCAATATTTTCACACGATAACCTTACCGTCACACTTCATAGAAAAAACTCTCTACCATCATTTTGCGGAAATATGAAATCATAATCAGCCATAAGTTGGTCCCACACTTCCACTTCCCAGCATCCTGTTCCTAACCATATGTCTCACATCTTAATACACAGTCTCTCACACTCATATGCACATGTAAAGTTTGAATAAATAGAAAAAAAAAAAAGCAAACTAGAAATTGCATAAACAAAACCTCCATACTGTTAGATCCTTTGCCAGGTTGTATATAGTACGAAACACAAGTGCAAGCCTGATTCTTTGTATTTGTATAAATTACTTAACAAATAGAAGCAACTATAAATATCAGAAAAGAAACGTCCACTGGTTATGACGTATTACAAAGCATTTCCATATAGCTTTCATATTACCTGCATCGAACGTAGCAATGCCCTTAAATCGGCATTCTCAGCCACCAGTTCTTGGTTTTTCACTTCATAAGCATCCACCTGCAAGCAGCTCATAGTTTTAGAACAACTTGTGAGGGGTGACAGAAATTTAAACAAGTCGCTCACATTACTTACAATCTTTTTATAGAAGTCATTGTCAGCCTTCTTCCCATTCCATGTCCCACGCTGCCGCCCTTCTTTCTATCAGCACATTAAAGATCTTTAAAAATTAGAAAGTCCATAATCTAAACGGAGGTAATAATACTAAGGTAAAGAGTTTGCATTATTACCTGCAGAAGATTCATAATTTCCATGCCCGATCTAGATTCCTTCTTTTTTTCCATCATTACTTGATTTAGCTTCTCCTGCAAGAGATGGTATGTTCAGTTATTTACTACCTCTGCACGGCTGTTACTTTTAAATATAGCAATCCCTTTATAACAGAACTATATTCTGCACACTTATAGTTACATCTACAAGGATTGTCCTCCGCATATAAACATCATACCTGCAACTTTATGTACTCTTTTTCTTTTTTCTTCATCTCATGTATCTGTTGAGTTCTCACTTGCTGTTGATAAAATATATTTTAATTAAATTAAGCAATAAAATAATGATAACTGGCACAATGTAATCAAATAAGACGAAGTGTTAACCTGATTACCCAAAACCATCCTTTGAAATTCATCTCGCTCCTGCTGCAACTTATCTAGTTGGGCCTTCAAAGCTGCAGTAGCTTTAGCTTCCTGCTCACGAAATTGGAAACAAATTCAAAAGAAGTAATCTTCACTGTTTACAAGTGCATCTACAATCTCATTCTGAAATAAATAAGCATTTGCGTAAAAGTTGATGAATAATTTACTAACTGTTCTAGTCATTGTCGCTATCTCTCGTTCTTTGGTCGATAACTGAGCTTCCAGCCTCTCCACTTTGGCCTCCAACCTTGAAATGTCTGATAAGAGTCTTTCAAAGGAACATCAAAGTATAAGTCACCCTGTGTAATAACCTAAAATTCTCTACTTGTCATTAACCTAAATATAGGGACCAAGTTGTGCGATAACCATAGTTTAAGGACATAGCCACAACTCCCATCAAGTTATGGCTTAAGTTACCAATTTTTTTTTCAATCAATGGTGGAATTAAAACTCATAATATTGAAACTGAACTTCATGAATGTTGGACCATCAATATGATTGTTGAAGCCATGGGAATGGGAAAGGTCTGGAATGTGAAAGGTCTACATTTAAAATACACACACACACACACACCACCACAAACACACACGAACATTCTTTTTCAGAAAAACACAATTCTCGTAAGTGCTAATACAATTATCATATTCAAGGTAAATGAAATATACGTATTTCATTGTTTAAAATTACAGAAGTCAATATTATGATCATGTTATGAAATCATGGAGTTTAGTAGCGCTACGCACGAAATTAGAATCACGAAATTCGATTCTTATAATTTCATGTCTCATCAAGCATGTTCATGAAATCTCATGGATTTCTGTTTTTTTATTTTCATTTTACGTTATTTCACTTATTGAGATTATCATCTCATATGAAATATGAAAATTTATTTTATAGATAATAATTAATCAGTGATTCGAGACGGTTGAAGATTGGGCGAGCACGTGATAGTGGTTAATGATTTAAATAATGTTATGGTTTTAAGGATGTGATTGGATTTTATGATGTTTTTGATAATCATATACTTTTAGTTTTGAAAGTTTAAAAAACATTTTGTTATTGATTTTCTCTTAACTTTATGAAAACCTTTATGTTTTCAATAAAGTGTTTTTAGTTCAAGAAGCCATGCGTTTCACCCTGTGCATACAAGTTATACAAAAACCAGCTCACACTAAAATATGGATTTCATCTAAACAAGAGACAAAATATTACATCTTGTTTACTACATTCTACATTTATTTTGGCTCTCATTATATGCAAAACCTTATAGCGTCTTGTTTAATAACAGACGCAAAATTAGATTGCAGTTAGGTGTGGAAGAACAAGGCGACTATCTTACCAGACTGTAATAAACTAAAGAAATATGAAACTAATTAACTCCTCTAAGTCAAGCGTCATGTTTCTTAGAATGGATGTTACAATAAACATCCTGAGACAAAAGATAAAACACTTTTGCTTCTCCTTCTATACATCCACGCAATAAATGAAATAACATATAATTTGAGATTTCTATGTCACCATGAAAATTCAAAACTGCATTGACCGAAATTGTAACATGACCCCTTTCCCTTAACAGAAGGATGACAGTCTACGCTCAACTTTAGAAACAAAATCTAATAAATCGAGAAGATTCCTTGAAGCGTCAATTATAGTTAATCATATTGAATTTGAAAATCTAACAACTTCAATAGTGGTTGTCTTCTTTAACTCATAGTAACAAAATCAATAAACTGATATGAAATATTACTTCAAGAAAAATAATGAACTTTATTTCAAAGTTAGTAATATATAGTAAACAAATTGTACCGTTGTCTCTGCTCATTGGCAGACTCCCTGAACTCGATATCTCTTTGTCTCTGCTGCAACAACGCGTATACACAATTGCAAGTCCTCGCAATTGAAACCTTTTTAACATTTTTTCACACATCAAAGAAATAGCCCATGAATACATAAACTAAACCCAAAACACATTCATTTGAAAATAAAAAAACACTCACGGGATCATTGGCGAATAGATCGAGAGAAGCCGGGAAACCAAAGGTGACTAGGGTTTGGTTCAAATACTTGGCGCAGTGCTCCAAATTGTTGATATCAGCAAATGCGTATTCACTGAAGCAAAAGATTAACCAAATTCAGCCAGGGAATTTCGAAAACCAAAATTTACTTTCCCTTTTTGCATGACATTGTCCAGAAACAGGGAGATTAAAACTAAATTTTCTTAATACTACAATTTTACCTCATACCCAGACTGCTAGGGTTAGTCGATGATCTCTGCAAGCCCAGAAAAAGCACGCGCACACACACACACACACAAAACAAGGAGAATTTAGTAAATTAGTTAAAATGTTGAAATGGGATCTTCAACTAGAGACAGAAAATTTTACTCTGAGATCGGAATCCATGTCTGTAGGAGGCATATGTCTTTTCGAAGAGTGGGTGTTTCGGGTGTGGGTGGGAGTGAGGGAGATTGATGATGTAGATCTGAATGAATGTCGGGAAAATTTGAATTGAAATTCAGGAGAAAAAGAGAGAAGGAACAAAGAAAGCTGTTTGAGACATGGGTCTTGTTTGTTTGCTACTATTATTTTAGGTTCTTGGAAAAAAAAATAATAAGCACTTTTTGTCCATGTTTCGAGAAATATATTTTTATTTTTTATTTCTTACAAATATGAAATATGTGGGGTTCGAAAATGAAAATTGGTATGAAAATCAACAATCTCGATTTTTTTTATTAATTCGATATGTTGAACTAACATGACGAATATAGATAATAGTTTGCAGTGCTTGTTCCTCGAATAAATTCCACACTCGTCAATTCGACTTAAAAAGTCAGAGTTACTGAATAATTTTAAAATTTCCAACTGAACAAATTTTAGTGGATGTTTGGTGTGGATTAAAATTAGATTTTTAATAGATTGTGATAAAAAAATTTTGAAATGTGTTGTTGAAAAGCCGTGGGACCCATGAAAAATGTGGTTAATATTGATTGTTTGACTTTGACTGAAATTAAGTTTTTGATTTTTATATATGTTTCTATAATTCTTTATTTATTCACCACTGATACTTTTTGTTATGTTTTTTTCTCAACCTTTGGACATGTAGACAGTGGACTTGTTTTAGAGACCATGAATTCGGAGAAGCCAGCCAAACAAACCTTTTGTTTTCATTTAGTGGGCCCTTTTAGCGTTGCGGGTTCCACGTTTTCAACTGCCGGTTATCAAGTTTACTTTGGCCCCAGTCTTCACTTGTTCTTTGAGCCCCTATTGTATTGAAACTGGTAGTGACACTTTGTCCCGAGGAGGAGTCGGGCAAGAAGTAGGCAGAGGTAATGCGGCGGTTACCCCCACTCCATTCACCCACTGGAAGTTGCAACGATTCCATCCATCGGAAGTTGCAGCGTCACTGCGAGAAACTTGCACAGAGATGCTCAACGCTGTTAGCGTCGTCGCTTGACGGAGCCTACCGCGCAGCGAGTTGCGCTCATAGGCGCCACTATGCACGGCGCTCACACATCTGCGAGCGGTGCTCCTTCGTGTACAATAGCGGATGTTGGAGTAGTAGAGGTGCACTAGCGGTGGAGCTTGCGAGGTAGGTGCCCGTTAGAGTGGCAGCATCAAGGCTTTTTGGCGTGGTTGTTGATGTAGTTTACTACGGATACAAGTCTAGTCAGAAATAGGCAATGGGAAGAAACAAAGGTGTGTTGCAGCGGTGGGTACCGTGGCCAATGATATTGGATTTGTAATTTTGGATTTGATTTTTTGGATCTAATTTTCTTTTTTTGTGTTTTGGTGGTGGTGATCGTGATTTTGGCTGCGGTTGTGAAGTTGCGGTGATGTTGGCAGTATGATGAGGTGGTGGTCGTAGCGGTAGTGCGATAGTTGTAGTTGGGATAGAGTGGGTGATATGTTGTGACCAATTATTTGGTTGATTGAGATCAATAAATTTGTTAATGTGTGACCAATAAATAATATGACTAATTAAATAGATAATTTGTGACTAATAAATAATGAGTAACCTAAAAATTTGTTAAATTTTGATCATTAATTTAATATTTTGTGACCTTGAAATAAATTGTGACCTATAAATTTGTGATTTATAACCAATAAATAATATGTGACATATTAATTTGATAGATTTGTGATCGAAAAATAATTTGTGACATATAAAATTTGTGGTTTGTGCAACGTCTATATCTGTGACCATAAATTATATACTATTGTGACATTAATTTATTAAATTAATAAAATATATTTTTAATTAATTATTTTATAAATAAAATTTAATTAATATTTGATTTTTGAAATAATAAAATATTGTTTCTTAATTTTGAAATGGATCAAACTTAATCTCTTAGATATGAAATTTTTCCTATTTTAAATTTATATTTTTAGTAGATTTTAACAAGTGAAAAATACACTCACGCATCTTTTTTAGTTTTTCAATTCAAAAATAAGGTTAAAATTTTTTTTATTTAAAAATCAGGTGATAATTCAAAATTTAATATTAATAATAATATTATAAAACTAAATTAACGGTTCCTACCCACCTCGATTTTCACTCCCAAACCTTAATTTCTCTCTCTCTCTCTATCAATGCTACACCACAGTGGAGAGTGACGCTATAGTAGTGGCGATGACGTTGTTACTGCACATGACTTGAAGGTCGTTGCAGCAACGACGACGCTGCATGCAACGTGAGTGTCACTATAGCAATGGTCGAGTACCAACGACGAGCGTCACTGCTACAGCGATCACTACACGGAGGCTTTGAGCACAAGGTGATTTTTTATTTGGTTTTGATATTAGGAGTGGTTTTGGGAGGGTGGTGGTGGTGGTGGCTGTGTGATAACAACGGTGATTTGTGAGTAAGGTGATGTGCGGTGATTTGTGATCTATGATGGTAATCTGTGTGTGATGTGTCGTGTATGGCAATGCTATTGGTGCTAGTTCTAGTGCGATAGGTGATATAGGTGGTGGTGTTGGGATGAGGGTGGTGCATCATCAGTTGTGTGGTGGTGGAGTAGGTGTGGTTGGAGTTGTAGTGGAGGTAGAAGTGGTAGTGATGGTGGTGCGGTGTGGTGTGGTGTGATGGTGCCGCTATGGTGGTGAGGTAGTGCCGATGAGATGAATGGGGTTGGGAAGACAAGTGAAAATTTGTGATTAGTTAATTGGGTAATTGTGACCAATTAATTTTATTTCGGGAATAATTAATAAGTTATAACCAATTAATTTGTTAATTTGTGATCAAAAAATAAGTAGTGGTCGTTAAATAAGTTATAGCCCTTGTTTGGTTCTCATTATTTTCGATATATATATTTCTCTCTCTCATTTTCAACTACACATTTTTTAATAAAAGAATATTATATGCAAATTCAAATTTTTTTCTTATTTTTAACCACACATTATCCATCAAAATACTATCTCAAAATGTATTTTGGGCAAAAAAAATGGGGTTCAGGCGGGCTCAAAATAAGTTATAGGATAATTGGCAAAGAAGGTCAATGTTTATCTTCATTGCACAAATCATTCAAATCGTTTCAATTTTAACATTTGAGTTTCATATCGTTCTCTCTTTTCGTGAAACGTCCTTACCGTTCATTAAACTTGAAGAGATAATTCGATTGGATTTGATTAAAACTTAAACGAGCATATCAATTTCAAAATTAGCTCATGTTTGATGTCCATTGAATTTTTTTTTGGGGAAAGTGAGTTTTGATATAATAATTTTTGGAGAACATGTGGTTAAAAAGTAAGGAAAAATGTTGGATTACGTACAAAATATTTTATTATGAGAATGTGTAATTGAAAATGAATTTTACAAAAAAGAAAATTTTAGAGAATGGTAGACAAACAAGAGCCTCTGTTTGGTATCCATTCTTTTTTTCATTCTCATTCTTCTACTAATTTTCAACCACACATTCATCAATAAAATAATATTTTCCATCACATCAATAACTTTTCCTTCATTTTCAACCACAAAAAAAGTGTGATTTGACATAAAGAATGCATTTTTTTCTAGAATAATGGTTACCAAACGGTGCCTAATATGCTCAAACGAGCTATCATGCATCTCGTGGCATGTTAAAATTCCACGTCAAAAGAAAATTATAATATTAACTAACGTATATGGACTTGAGCCATTATTCTTAACACTAATCCTTTAAAACGAAATCTTAAATCTTAATATAATAACATGTGCATTATGCTTAAATGAGCAATTTAATCCAGCTAAAACTCAAATGGGCTAACAAATTTCAAGACTACCACGACCAAACGAACCGCTTCTTATGGTGGCATATCAAGGGTAAATATCAAACATTGAATAATGATTAAATAAACACATAACATATAAGATTTGAGTTACTCATTTTGACAAGATTGACTTTTTACGATGAAATTTCACTTCTTAAGACAATTTCATAGCCCATTTAGCTGAAATGAACAATTCGAATAAATTAAGACTCAAACAACTATACAAATTTCAAGATTAATATGCTTAAATGAGTCATCATCCTGGAAAAACACATTAACCGATAAATTTCACATCAAACAAATGATAAATATTAACCGATATATAAAGATTTTGGTTATTATTCCTGATAAGGTCAAATATAAAACCCTAAGTTAAGTTTTAGTATTGTGGTGATTAGCAGATTAGGCGATCATGATGTTGAAGTTGAATGGACGTGGCAATAGTAGTTGTGGATCTACAGTGATTCCCAACTTGATATGGTGGTGGGTTGCTTTGCTTACCAACGTCAATGGCAAGGTGGTAGTGGAAACAAGAAGAGATAATGATGTGAAAAAAAGGTTAAATAATACTTCAAAAACTAATTTGGTTTTTTAGTAATTAGCCCATTGTTTTTGCCAAAGACAAAAAACAAAAGACTAATTTGTTAGTTCAATCGTTTATAAGATAATATACCTAAATTGAATTTAAGCTCGAGCGGAATATGTCTGTTAAAACCTACTTGGCTCGGACTAATCATTAATAGGATAGTACACTAGAATTGAATTTAAACTTGACACGTAAATTAAGTGAATATTGTGCGTGGCAAATTAGACTAGCTTCAATGGAATAGATATGTTAAATCTACTTTGCTCGGTCTAATCTTTGATAGGATTGTATAAAAATTGAATTAAGCTTGATACCCAAATTAACGAATCATATGCTTGGCACGTTAGGCTAGCTTGACCGGAATAGATTCATTAGGTTTTAGAATAACTAACATCCATTGTCGAAGGTAAAATAATTCTGTCTTATCACATTGCGAATAATTTATTTAAAAGTTACTCAATGCCACAGTGATTATTCCTGCCTTGATGGAACTGAAAGAGATATTCAAATCTATCTAATGTAACACAAAACGACCCCATTCCCATTTTAATCTTTAGATAGAATTTGATTCTTCTTCTTGCATGCTATGGAAGAATCTTAGAATTATACCAGTACCACCACACTGGATTTTCGTGTTTGATAATAGAATTATACTCTATATAAGCAGAACCATATTAATTCTTGAACCAGGAGTGCAGACTTTTCAAGTTCCTTACAGAGTTTGTGCTTCAAATTCATGGCCTGGTTTAGAAACACCAAAAACACCAACAGCAGCAGGACCGAACCATCTGCCCAAGAATGGGGGAGAAAAGGCTACGATTCTCAAGGTAAGAACCATTCTATGCTCAACCATTCTTCCACTGTTTACACACAAAGCCATATGAGCCAAAAAGAACAAATTTTCCGATTTAGTCTTGTAAATGATGATTACCAGAGAGTACATAGTCTTCCTCAACTAAGCTTGTTCAAAGACCACGGCGATGATATTAATAAGCACTCTCACTTTCCTCCGATTATGGTCTATGGAGCACCCAAGAAAGCGGAGGAATTTTCCACTAAGGAGAGTCTCAAGGGTGCACCCTGGAACTCTGCAGGCTATAAGAATCATAGCCTCTTTTCACGGGATGATGATCGCAGCACTGATGATTTGGATGACGACAATTATGACAGGCATGAGGGATATGGAGGGCCTTATTCGCCTAAGCCGGTACATACTAAACCAGCATATGACACTGATTATGGTATGAGATCCCCAGAAGGTGCAGATGGGAAGCCTTCGTTTGTTCCTCCTGCTGGAATGCATCAACAGTATACTGCTCCGGTCTCCACATCACCAAAGAAAGACACGTACCCCGAAACAGCAAGAAATAGGCCAATTGGGCGTAGTCCTCCGCGGAACAAACCAGAAACTGACACTCGATCCCAAAAAACCAGTTGGAAGCCTTTGTTTGAGCCTGCCGCTGCAAGTCATCCACAGTATACTGCTCCTGTCTCCACATCACCAAAGAAAGACGCATACCATGAAACATCAAGAAATAGGCCACTTGTGCCGAATCCTCGGCAGGGTAAACCAGAATCTGACACTGGTTATGCTTCCGATTCCCCAAAAGCCGGTAGGAACCCTTCATTTGGTTCTCTTTCTGGAAGGAGACCACAGCCTACAACTCCTGTTAAAGATTCATACTATGAAACGGCAAACAATAGCAAACCAGCACATGACAATGACAAAGTTAGTGCACATGCCATGACACGGCCAGGGAAAGAGGGCAATCAACAGACAATTGACAGCAACGAAGCTCGTAAGCGTTATGGAGGCAAAGCAGTAAATCAGCCAAAACCGGAGGAAGAATACAGAGGAACAATTGACTGTAAAGAGGCTGCAAGGAAATACAACGGTGTCTTTGTGCCTTGAGCCTACATAAAATGTGGTGATTCTAATAATATTGGTATTTTTGCCATTATATATATGTCTAGTAGCTCTATAAGTGCTTATTTCAGTTAATTTTCCTCACTTAGGAAAGTTGTGTCGTCTTGTTGTCGAAGTCCTAGTACTATAATACAGCAAGTGTGTCCTAAGTTACTGGTACTAATAATACCGTAAGCTTGTCCTACTAAAGTTTAAAAGACAGCATATATGCATGCTACTTAAATAACTTTGTGCATCACACTTGCCTTTTATTCGTGGTTATTGGAATTGCATATGTATATCTAGGGTCCACCTACTTGAGTGAGTTAGGACGGAGCGTCGAGCATTCATCAAACAACCGCCCAATATAGCGAGATTGTTTACTAATATTTAATTAATTTATATTCAAACCATCTCCAATCAATATATAAATGCATTAAAACATAAAAATCAAAGACATTTAAAAATATAATTCAATACAACCCAAAATAATAAGGAATCTCATGTACGTACGATAAAGTTTCAATTTTTTATGAACTTCAGCGAAACAAAATGAAATTTATGTGTAAAGTGTTGATTAAACGATAAAGACAAAAATTTTAAAACGGTGAATTTTAGAGCTATTTTTTTACCACAAAAAGAAAAATATTTTTCTAACTCTTAAAAAATAAAGAATTTTACAAAACAGATTGATAAAACCTAACAATAAAAATATATATTATAAATCAATAATCTAAATCAATTTAAATTTTTAAAATGGTGATTTTTAAATCTATTTTTTACCCAAAAAAAAAAAAGTTTTTCGAACTCTTAAAAAAATAAAGAATTTTACAAAATAGATTGATAAAACCTAACAATAAAAATATATATTATAAAGCAATAATACAAGTCAATAAATTTTTAAACGGTGATTTTTAAAGCTATTTTTTACCCAAAAAGAAAAATATTTTTCGAACTCTTAAAAAAATAAAGATATGTACTTAGATTGTCCAAATTTAAATTTTACAAAATAAATTGTTAAAATTTAACAATGAAAGTATATATTATGAAATAATAATTTGAGTCAACGAATTTTTTTAAAGAAATTATTTTAGAAACAAAAACTTATAATATAGAATTGCTTATTTATTATTTATTGTGTTAAAAAATTAAAAGAAGAGGAAGTGAGGGGAATTGAACGCCATACCTCTTACATGTAAGGAAATGACTTTCTATTTGAGATACAACACTTACCAACATTAATCAAAACAAAATAATGTAGATTTATTTAATTATTATTTATTGTGTTAAATTAAAAGAAGAAGTGGAGGCGAGGGGAATCTAACCGGGTGCCTCTCACATGCAAAATCAACAACCTAAAATATGAGTTACACTCGAATTAGCTGAACACAAGTACAGTTCTGCATATTTAGCATAAAACGTCATTAACATGTAGTCCCTGTTTGTCTACCATTATTCCAAAAAATTGTTTGCTACAGTATATTTTTCATCACACATTCACCCAATAAAATATTATATACACAAACCAATAAAATTATTTTAAATTTCGACTACATATTCTCCAAAAAATACTATTCATTACTCTATTTTTCTCTCAATAATGAGAGAGAAACACATCCGTAATTTCCTTCTTTTTTTTTTTCCATTGGAGATAGCACTTGCGACCGCGCTAGCTCGTCAAGTACTGGTTCTGTCCTTGGAGGAGAGGGTGAAGATTGTTGGAGGAAAGAGGGGTTTACCAACTCGATTTGGCTAAGTTTTAATAGGAAGGACAATACTAATAGGAAGAGGTAAATAAAATGTAACTTATATTTCTCAACATCAACACTTACAACACTTGACTTGACTTGACTTGTTGTTACAAAATGGAGGGACTCTATCCCTTTATATAGGGTTTACATGAGACTTCTAGACCACACATTAATCTAGAGAATTCTAGTCCATAAATTTTCATGAGGCTTCTAGATTTCATATTTGGACTAGATATTTTCCTAGAGTATTCTAGGTACAATGCATATTTATCTATTACTTAGATATTTACATGGGTCTTTCTAGAATATAATTCTAGAAAATGCTAGACTTTGTTGGGCCTTTGAATTGGGCCTATGAGCAAAATTCTTAAACTCATATTATTTACTCCAAAATCAAGTTTACTTTCCAACATCCCCCCTTAAACTTGATTTTGCTACTCCAAGTAGAGTTCTTAGGTTGCGGAACACGTCATGCTTGAGTGGCTTAGTGAAAATGTCGGCGATCTGCTCTTGAGAGGTTACATACTTCAGTTGCACCTCATTCTTTGCAACGCTCTCTCTTACAAAGTGATACCTTGTATCGATATGCTTGCTTCTATCATGAAACACTGGATTCTTTGCCAATGCCAGTGCTGATTTGTTGTCAACATGGATCTCAGTCGGTTCATCTTGTAAGACTCCAAGTGTCTTCAACAAGTTTCTAAGCCAAATTGCATGGCAAACACTTGATGTAACTGCAACATATTCAGCTTCACATGTAGATAGCGCCACGATCGATTGCTTCTTCGAGCTCCAAGTGAATGCAGTGTTGCCCAAGTAGAATACATATCCAGTAGTGCTCTTTCTATCGTCAATGTCTCCGCCCCAATCACTATCACTATAGCCAACAAGTTTGAATTCATTAGATGATGAATAGATTAAACCATAGTCAAGCGTACCTCTGATGTAGCGAAGAATCCTCTTTGCAGCTTTCATATGAGTCATGGTGGGTATCTCCATATAGCGACTGATTAGCCCTACTCCAAAGAGGATATCTGGTCTTGTGCATGTCAAATATCTTAGACTTCCGACAAGACTCTTAAAGAGTGTTGGATCCACTTTTTCACATTCATCATACTTCGATAACTTGGTTCCACATTCGACGGGGGTGCATACAGGCTTGCAATCCGCCATGTTGAATTTCTTTAGAACTTCTTTCGCGTACCCTTCTTGTGAGATAAAGATGCCATCCTCCATTTGCCTTACCTCAATCCCAAGATAGTAGGCCATAAGACCGATATCTGTCATCTCGAATTCTTGAGCCATGGCCTTCTTAAACTCAGTGATCATGCTTAGATTATTTCCTGTGAATATAAGATCATCCACATACAAACAAACAAGCAAGATATCTCCTTTCTCATTTACCTTTGTGTAAAGGGCATACTCGTGAGGGCATTTTGTGAAGTCATTTTCTAGAAAATACTTGTCAATTCTACTATTCCATGCCCTTGGAGCTTGTTTCAACCCATATAAAGCCTTTTTGAGTTTTAAGACTTTACCTTCATGCCCTTTTATTTTATATCCCATTGGTTGCTCCACATAAACTTCTTCTTCAAGATAACCATTTAGAAAAGCTGATTTCACATCCATTTGAAAAATCTTCCACTTGTTTTGCGCGGCAAGAGAGATAATTAATCTTATGGTTTCTAAGCGAGCAACAGGGGCAAATACCTCCTCAAAATCGATCCCCGACTGTTGGTTGTAGCCTTTGGCAACCAATCTTGCTTTGTATCTCTCCACTTCTCCTTTAGCATTCTTCTTTATCTTGTACACCCACTTGACTCCGATTGCTCTTTTTCCTTTGGGAAGAGTCGTCAGCTCCCATGTATCGTTTTTCTCAATAGCTTTAATCTCTTCATCCATGGCATATCTCCATCTTTTATTTTGCGCTGCTTCTTCATACCCTATTGGCTCACAATCGGCAAAAAGACAAAAAAGTGTGAGATTATTTTGATTCTCTGTTACCTCATATAGCTCTTGTAGGCTCCTCATCCGTGGTGTCCTTTCGCTTGAGCTTTCTCCTTGTGAAGATACTGGTGAAGCATCTCCATGAGCAGGTGATAGAGGTGGACTGGTAGGCTCTTGCTGCTCTTCATTCTCTTGTTCTTCTTCCTCAAAGAATGGCAAGAAGTCGTAGTCTTCTTCTTGGACACCCCAATCCCAATCTCCTTCTTCATTGAACTCGACGTCTCTACTTATGATAATCTTCTCCTTGCTTGGATTATACAGTTTGTAGCCTTTGGAGCGAGAGTCATAGCCGATAAAGACATACCTTTCACTCTTATCATCTAGCTTGGACCGCTTTTGATCCGGCACATGAGCATATGCAATGCTCCCAAATACTCGCAGGTGAGAGATACTGGGCTTCCTTCCACTCCATGCTTCTTGTGGTGTCTTATTCCACACACTTCTAGAAGGAGATCGATTAGATAGGTATACAGCGCAATTAACAGCTTCGGCCCAAAGTTCTTTGGGCAATCTCTTGCTTTTGAGCATGCAGCGGGCCATGTTAAGAATTGATCTATTCTTTCTTTCGGCTACTCCATTTTGTTGTGGAGAGTATGAAACCGTTAATGGGCGACGAATTCCATTTTCTTCACAATATTTCTCAAACACTTTGGAGGTAAATTCTCCTCCTCTATCCGATCTCATGGCTTTTATGCTATAGCCACTTTCCTTTTCAACGAGAGCTTTAAACTTCTGGAAAGTTCTAAAAACTTCCGATTTCTGTTTGAGAAAATAGACCCAAGTCTTTCTACTAAAATCATCAATGAAGAGAACAAAGTAATTGTTCTTACCGAGAGAGCTTGGATTGATTGGCCCACAAACATCTGCGTGTACAAGTTCTAGCGGCTTCTTAGCTCTTGTAGATGCTTCTTTTGGAAAACTTTTCCTCGAATGCTTCCCAAGTAAGCATCCTTCACATAATTGATCCGGATGATTTATTGGAGGCAAACCTTTTACCATCTTCTTCTTACTTAACAACTTTAAGCCCCCAAAATTAAGATGCCCAAATCTTAAGTGCCAAAGCCAAGATGAATCTTTAAAACAAGCTTTTAAGCATTTAGCAACATCATTTTGAATGCTTAATGCAAACATTCTATTTCTTGTCATAGGGACTTTAGCAATCAGATTTTTTCTTTGATCTCTTATTGAAAGACTATGATCTTTCAAATAAATATCATAGCCCTTCTCTAAGAGTTGTCCCAAGCTCAG